ATTAATACGAATATTTCATTGTTTAGACACTCTTAGCCAGTCTCACAGTCACTTGTGACATGTTTGAAAACCAGATCACTTGCCATGACGCCATGACCTTCTTAATGCGGCCTTCCTTATTTTCCCCTCTCGTAGAGACATGACCGAGGTCGTCCACATTAAAGACAGAAAGGAGGCGATTCATGAGTTAAAATATTCAGCAGACGGAAGCTGCCTTGCAGTTGGGTGCAACGACGGCTCGGTGGATGTGTACGGAGTGGCTCAGCGCTATAAGAAAGTTGGGGAATGTGTCGGTTCTGTTAGTTTCATCACTCACCTGGACTGGTCCTCAGACAGTCGATACTTGCAGACAAATGATGGAAATGGGAAAAGACTTTTCTATAGGATGCCAGGTAAACTTTCCCTTATAAATCATAGGTAATTTGTAGATGTTTAATGCCTGCCACATGCTTTAGAATTTTCAAAACAGCATGGAAGCTACATTTATTTGAACGTAGGAAATGAGTGATGGTTTGAGCTCATACATAGACATGGCGGCTTTTTTCTGTCGGGCTTCCCCTTGAAAGCCTTCTGGCTCTTAACTAAAACTCCTGCTCAAATTTAAGACAGGGCCATTTCACGTTAAGTTTCATGCTAGGTGACTATCTTAAAATCCTCTTAGATGTGGGGCAATCCTATTTTGGTAATTTCATTCCACCCACAAAAATGATATTTTGAGTGTGACTTTCTCTTAGATAGTAGAACGTTCTTAAGATATTTTTTTGTGGGTGGAATGACATGAACCTAAATAGAAGTGCCACAACTCTGTCGTTGTCTTGAGTCACCGTCACAAATATTCACAACTTGGTTAACCATCTAAATTTGGAAAACAGACTTTTTATCAAACATTCAGAAGGAAAGGAATAAAAGTAGAATTGTGACGAGAGAGAAAACGAGACCGCAGTGAAGTAGTCACTCTCTTCCCAGAACTTGTGCAGTAAGATAAGCCGCATAAATTAATGCAAATCCCCCAAAGCTTTCCATTAGCACTCAGTAATGAAGAGTGAGTCCCAGAGTCCTGGGGACTTAGGAATCAACGGCATTCTGCCCACTTTGCTCTCTCTCCTTGCTCTCTCTCAGGTCCTTCCGCTCCCTCAGCCCTGCGTCTCAGTGGCCCTTTTAATACCTGAGTTGGTGCTTTCTCAGCGCTTGTGACTGATCTGGATCCCGATTTTATTAGGCTCAATACTGTTCTCCACGTGGATGGACTGCCTAAGCCACATCCTGTCTCATTCTGTGTAAATGTTGATGTGGCTCCTTTCTGTCTTTGGAATCATCAGTTCTCTTCCCACACCCCCCACACCCCCGACTTGAACTCATCTCCCTGTATTCCATTCTAACTGGAATGGGAAGATATTTAAAACTGTGGGGCTAACCATGTTTCCAGAACAATTTATGTGTGAGTGAGTATCACAGGGAATAACCTTTTACCTAAGACTCTTCTTTCTTTTTTTAGGTGGAAAAGAAGTGACGAGCAAAGAAGAAATGAAAGGTGTCCACTGGGCATCATGGACATGTGTTTCCGGCCTGGAAGTAAACGGGATTTGGCCCAAGTACTCAGATACCAATGATATAAATTCAGTGGATGGGAATTATATTGGCCAAGTGTTAGTTACAGCGGATGACTATGGAGTTGTGAAATTATTCCGCTATCCTTGTTTAAGAAAAGGTATCTTTCAAAACAATGTCAAATAACGTTAGACTGGCCGCTCACTGCAAGGTTGGCTGGTAAAACCTCTTCCCTCCCAGCCCTCCCACCCGCCCAGCTGCTCCGTGGGGGCAGGATGAGGATGTCTGCTTCCGTAAAGCCTTAGTCGCAGACACCCTGTACAGGATCGCTACAAGTCAGAATGCGTGCGAGGACAGTGGGTTTGCAACAAAGGACTTTGGTTTCTGCAGTAGGTGTGAGCGTTTCATACTCCGAAAAACATACATCCTGGTTACTTGGTGAAGGGTTTCACAAAAATGAAATACACGGGTGGGGAGGGGGAAATGAGGAGCTGATACCAAGGGCTCAAGTAGGAAGCAAATCTTTTGAGAATGATGATGGCAACAAATGTACATATGTGCTTGGCACAATGGATGGATGGATAGTGATCATAGTTGTATGAGTCCCCAATAAAATGATTTTAAAAAAATGAAATACACAATCAGCTAAAGTTATTTTTATTTCTCTAAAGCAATTTCTTATCGTATGTTGCATTCTCTTTTTTTTAATTAGTCATTTTGTTGGGAACTCTTACAAATATTCTAGCAACCCATGGCTCAATTAGATCGAACATAATTGTACGATTTGATTTGATCCACACCATCAACACATTTTCTTTTTTCTTGAGCTCCTTGATAGCGGCTCCCCTTAATCCCCTCCCTCCCTCATCCTACACCCTAGGAACCCTTTTGATTATTTTATGTTATTATTTGTTGGATTCAATTTTTGTCATGAAAATTTTGTGAGAAAATTACTGGTTTTGAATTTATATGCAGCTATGAGTGTACTAGAGCTTTAATTTTAGAGCTTTTCTCCCCAGTTCCAGAACTGTCTCACCTAGCCACACTGTGCAGTGATGGTGATTCTTCTTATGGCTTTTTGCCTTGAATGAAAGATTGTTTTCCTATAGCTTTGTCTCAAGAATTCTGAAGAAGTAGGCAATTGTACAAACTTGGCTCATACTTTGAAACCTTTTGATTAGGTGATCTGTTGGTTGGTCGGTCGGTCGGTCAGTTGGTTGGTTGGTTGATGTGTCCTGCTTAATTCTTTGCTTGTCATTTGTTTATTTTCTATTACAATGATGCATAAATAAATAAGGAGTCTTTTTTTCTCATTATTTTTATATGCTACCTCTTTTTTCTTGCCATTTCTCTAAAGTGATAATATTCATCATTCTGTCCCTAGACCTGAAAATGATGACAGGAAATGCAGCATTCGTGCATTTGTGAATAAATTCTTTTTTTTATATTAGTAAATCATTTTATTGGGGGCTCTTATAGCTTTTCTAACAATATATACTAAATCAAACTGATGTTTGTTGCCATCATCATTTTCAAAACATTTTCTTTCTACTTGAACCCTTGGTATCAGCTCCTCTTTTTTCCCTCTCTCCCCCACTCTCCCACCTTCATGGAACCCTGATAAATTATTATTCTTTTCATATCTTACACCATCCACTGTCTCCTTTCGCCAGTAGTTCTGTTGTTCATCCCCCTGGGGGGTGGATTATACGTCGATTATTGCATAACTCCATTTCTCCCTATTCTCTCCCCCTTCTCCCACCCTCTTGGTATCGCTACCTCCATTTACTGTTCCTGAGGGGTTTATCTGTCCTGGATTGCGGGTGTCAAGAGCTCTTATCTGTACCATTGTACATGTTCCGGTCTAGCAGGATTTATAAGGTAGAACTGGGGTCATGATAGTGGGGGGAAGAAGCATTAAAGAACTAGAGGAATGTTGTGTGTTCCCTCAGTGTTGTACCGCACCCTGGCTGACTCGTTCCTTCCTTGTGTCCCTTCTGTGAGGGAATGTCCAATTGTCTACAGATGGGCTTTGGGTCTCCTCTCTGACCTCCATTGTTTGCATCAATATTTGTTTGGGATCCTTTGATGCTTGTTACCTTATCCCACTGCCACCTCTTAATCACACAGGCTGGTGTGCTTCTTCCATGTAGGCTTATTGCTTCTCTGCTAGATGGCCGCTTGTTTAAGCCTTTAAGACCCCCAACACTATATCTTTTAATAGCCAGGCACCATCGACTTTCTTCACCACATTTGCCTACGCGCCCATTTTGACTTCAGTGATCGTGTCAGGAAGGGTTAATTCATTCTTTACTTGTGGTGGTGCAAAGGTTGCTAACTGCAAGGTTAGAACTAGGTGCCTCAAAAGAAATGTCTGGTGATCTTGCAAAAAAGCCGTCATTCAGAACCCTGTCGAGCACAGGAATCAATGATTTGGTTGGAGTTTTCATCCTAAACTTAGTACTGTGAAAGTAGTCCTGATCATCATGCAGATTTCTGTTTAAAAAAAAATCAACTGTGACACTGTTGTCCTTTACGATGGAGACATCTGATGCACACT